GTGTATTTTCTACATTCTGTTTTGCTAATAATATTATTTTCCAGTGAACCTCAAAACGAAAGCCTTTCCATATACTCTCTCCAAATAGGCTCCCTGTGATTCCATTTTTCGATTGTTTGCTGGAGCTACATGTGTTGTACAAATTCTTATCTTGGGTACTTTCCACCCTCCGGAACCCAGTGCACGTAGGATATTGACACACTCCTCTTCCTCTCCAATGCTGGTGTTCCCCAGATCTACAAAGCAAACCAACACCACATCAGCCCTCAAGTGAGTAGGCTTAACGACTATGACCAATTCGTCCAAGTTTTTGAACTCCAAGAGAGCTGAATTCTTGTACGATAAACAAGATTCCGAGGCGGCCTGGCGATCATCAGAGTGTCTCGAATCTAAAGAGAACTCTGTAGGATTCTCGGCACCATATTCGTCGTCTTTAGATTCTATCTGTTCAAGATATGAATGTTCTAATCTCTGCAATTTTGGGATGTTCGTGATGCCATGTTCGCCGCTTGCAGGCTGTCTCAATTCGAAGGGAAAGTCTATCAAGCTCGACAACTCTGAGAAATTATCCACCGCCAGTCTTCGCACTCGTTGTTTATCTTGATCGAAGTTTTGGAACAATCGTTGTATGAAAGATAGATATGGAATTTCTTCGGTAGTACTCCAAGCTACGCTAAAATATATAGTGTCCGTATCGAAGTTGACCATGGGTGGCTTCTCGTGAGGACTTGGAGAAGCTAAGTGATATTTGGAGATCTGGGTAAGGGTCACGTCTGAGCTAAGAAGAGTATAGAATGGCAGCAGCAATTCTCGAGCTTCGTGGTTGATTTGTAAGAGGGCAATAGGTGCAGTCACTCTAACATGATGTTTGGTGGTAAGGGGATCCCATGCTTCGGTCGGAGTTGTGCGTGGTCTGACTTCGATGATTCGAGGGAAAAGAGCAGGAGTATAACGCCAAATTTGATGTCGTAGCTCGAGGTACAAGTCAGGAAAGCCGTGAAAAGTATTTTCTGCTCCATTGGCTGCCCTCATTGTTTGTTAGTGCTTCTAACAATTGTATGTCGGAATTGGGATAAATTGGAACATAGGTGTTTGAAAACTTTGATTCATGGGTCGTATGACTTCAGTTGAATTTGATCTCAATTCAAAACTATGGACTAATATTAGCAGGTGCATGAGATTTTCTTACGAGGAAGGTTCTGCCAATTGGATGTTCCTTCCGTTTTGGCAAGCGTCATGATTTTATTAGACTTGTTTTTACCTTGTCTGGCTCTGTCGTATGGCTTCTTTTCTTTCTTTCTTTCTTTTTCTGATGCCACCTGTGTTGCCTAGCCACTCCTGTTTCGTCCGGGTTATAGTACGAACAAATCAGCATATATAACGGCTTATTTAGTTTCGTCGACAAAGATCTTTACTCCATAACCTCCAATCGAATGGATTGAGGATTTCTCATGGACACTTTCAACTCTCCCATATCTTCACAATATTCAAAACACCATCTAGGATGACTTGCAAGCTCCTGTCACAACACAAGCATTCCTCTCATCTCTAAAGCCTCATTTTTTCCTCGGCGCGGAGTATTCACGCTAAATTGATCTTCTCAAGTCATATGCTCGACCCAAATCTTCAGTTTTGGAAACGCAACATCAATTAGGGATAAGAATACTGCACAACTTTCATTTCCGGGAGACACACTGTGTTATGTTTCGGCCAAGATAGGTATCTTATCGAATGTTCAGTGCTGCGTCTTGAATTTTGATAGACTCAATTTGGGCCTAGCTGATTATCGATAGTCCAAACTACAGGCCGAGGATCCGAAGCTTCCAATTCCCAAACTCACTTAGATCATGCAGATTGCTTGATATCCTGAGTCCAGCTTGAATATCGGGTTGTTGTCATATATCAAAAGCCTATGTTTACGCCGCTAGACCAGACGATCTGATACCCTAGAAATGGGAGGCGCACGCAATCCTCACAGAGCTATAACACGCTTCTTTGTTCAGTGGAGCGATTGAAGGATTGAGATATCCACTATAAAATAAAGTAGAAGTTTGAATCCATCGTTCCTCCTTTAATTTCGGGGCCAACTCCAATTTACATCTGCACGCATGTTCATACAAGTGAATAGAAATAGTCCCGGAATGGTTCAAATAATTCTTTTGGGCGAAGTCATACATCGAAATTACAAAGAGCGGTACCCAGGTGTACTGTCCAAAAGGACACTGGGGCCCATACTACCATCTTGCTTTAAACTTTTCAAACGAGACTTGCACTTTCTTGTTCTGTGAATCAGAACTGGTTTGTACAAGTTTCGGAGGAAGTGATAATCAAAAGCATCAATACGTTTTCCTCAACTCCGCGCTTTCCGTCAACTATATCACAAATATCCATTCTTCAAGCAGTTTACCCCAATTCAGAATACCGATGCATTGAGTATCACTTACGAAGGAGCATAAGAATAACATATCCCCAGCCAAATTCGCACAGGATAGCGAACCAGCCGACAACTTTATGAGTTTCATGCATCGAATCCGAACCACACCATTGATTCGGATTTGGCGATTTAACTATTTGGAGGCTTCGATTCGATAATATCTCAAGTCATACATACATTTGATTCATTAATAGATATGCTAAGGCGGAAGATGGCCGCTCGTGGCTATGAAAATCGACTCGAAGAAGCGCGGGTATGTCAAGCTTGTATTAGATTAGTCCCTTTATGCCAACGCAAGATTTAGAGAAACCTACCAGAGGTGCCTGATCAAAGCATTCCGATAATTCCAATCCTCACACCTGCAGACTCGGAATGGGTATGTCATTTCAAAAGATTTTCTCTGAAGAATGTGTTTCCCTAATACGAAGTCTAGACCTATATATCACCCTCTTGCCACTATGCAGGGACTGGTCCTGTGGCAGAACCCGTTCCAAATAATGTATCGCCTCCTTCTAATACCTCTGTTGGTAACTCGGACATATCCACAAACGCTAGGCTCAAAGACGCGAGGCTCAAGCTCAAACATGATATCCTCAGACAAATAGGACAATCACTGAAAGACTCTGATCAGACACAGGTGATAAAATTAAGACTGAGGTTCGACCAGTTACAAGTTGGGATGGCAGAAACAGATTCTCGAATAGAAAGGATGATAAATCAAAATTTGCGAGCTGAACAAGCAAAATTAGAAGAGGAATTGAGAAAAGCGAGAGCCGATTTAGCAGTTATAGACGCAAATTTGGCCTCTGACGAGATGGTCGACGACGAACTGGGCGAGGAAGAAATGGATGAGGACGAAATGGACGAGAATAGAACGAATGAGAACGATGTATCGGGAGAGAATGGGAGGGAAGAGATTGAGAGGGATGAGAATGAGAGGGATGAGAATGAGACGGATGAGAACGAGAGGGATGAGAATGAGAAGGAAGAGAATGAGAAAGAAGAGAATGAGGAGGAAGAGGACGAACCGGAGGAGGAACTGGATGATCACAAAATTGATGAGTGCAAAAAGGAAGAGAGTGAAATATTGGAGGAAATGGAAGAAAAAAAAATGGATGACTATGAAATGGAGGATCACAAAACGAACCAGCATGAAATGGACAAGGATCAAAAGAGGGAAAAATACTATGACGAGAAAGAAATTCTTGATAGTTCGTTCAGGCAAGCCATTCGGAAAGAATTGGATGAAGAACTTGAGAAAGCATTTAGGAAGAACAAAAACCTCGACTTGCAGAAAAAGACGGACAGACATTCGTCCAAAAAGCGCAAATTCGAGCATCAAGAAGAACAATCAGATAAACCAAACCCTAGTCCATCTTCGCCAGATGTGGAATCCGGCGGCCCAGAAATAGCGTGGATAGATACGGTACCGTTACTGAGAGAGCTAAACACACATCTGGCAGGGTATAAAATGGGCAGTTCAGCAGAGGAGATAATGGACATTCGATCCTGGATTGACAAGGGATTCGATACTGGAATGAGAAGAATACTGAGAAACCAGCCTATTGCTGATATACTAGGTTCATGGGACAATCGATACGAAGAGGAGGGACTGAACAATATTCTTAGGTCGGTTGTACTAGTATACGATTCGATTGAAGATTTACACACGCTTCGTGCGCACTATGATCGAATTCTTGGCGAAGCGGTGCTCTCATCACATTCTAGAGCGAAAGTCCGAGACTCAGGGAGGAACGATTGATGAAATCAATTTTGGAAAACTGGCTCTATAGATTCTTGGAAAGCTTGTATTATTTCTCTAACAAGATGCGATGAATTCCTGTTTCAATTGGCACTTCATGGGATTTACAGCCCCATTACTGAAGTTTCTAGAATAATTCCAGAAGGTTTAAATCATCGAGAGAAATTTTGTACTGTTATATTGATTCAGGAGCAGCTTGTATCAGATTGTGAGTCTCTAGATATGGAAGATTGCCAGTGTCCTGAGTATCACATGAGCCGTTCTATGATCTCTTTTCTGACCTTTAATTGTACAAATGGTGTGTGGAGTATGAACATGACGTAAAATAACAGAAGTATTTCATGATTGTTTCAAAAAACAGAGTCCGCTTCGAAAGCCTTCACAACGAAGGTAGGTAAGGTGGTGTTTATGTGAGAAGGGACGGGTTTCAGGAAAACATCAAAAAGAGAAAAAAGAAGGGAAGGATGGAGAGAATCGTTCAAGAATATCAATGAACCGGCTTGGTTGGCGTTTTGGGTCTGATATATGGACTAGATTACATGAATAACTACGCCATAACAGCCCGTACCAAAGAAATATTTACATTGAACTATATGTAAAGTCGAATGGCATTATCATCAACTGAAATACGTGTCATACAGAGCCATCCCGAACCATAGATTCCTCGTATCATGGGTATCATAACATTATTAAACACAACAAAATGTGTAGAAGATCCCTTTTATACACCAAGACACCATAAACCCACCCCTAGGATTCATTACCAACGACCTTACCCAGAACTCCAGTCCGATACGTTAAGACTCATGCAGCAGCAATACCCCTCATACGTCTTCTAATCTCTAGCGTGCGTTTCACACTAAAATTCTTTTGGTCATCTGGCATATGTTCACCACTGACAATGACCAAAACCTTCATTCTAGGATGATATTTCAAATCGTGTAGTAGCTTCGGCGTAATAAGAAAGTACTGGCTATCATGTTCCTGACATGCAATCTCGACCATACGTCCGTGGACCATTCGTTCGTTACGAGGATCCATTCCTTGGTTGATTTCGTCGACGACACGGAAAGGAGAGCGAGCAAGTGATTGTAAAGACATGAGGTAGAAAATTGTTGAAACGGAGCGTTCACCTCCCGATTGACGGTGCTTATCAAGGAGCTGAAGGGTTTCGTTTTCTCTGTTATGATGTTAATAAGTTGGCATGTCTGAGATATTTTAATAACATGACTGTACCTGAATTTGACCTTGATCTCAATTGCCCATTTTTCAAAATCGTCTTCTTTATACACACCAACTTCACCAGCACATCCAATCTGCTCGAAATTATGTGAAAAGGCCTGACTGATCTGCTCAACAAGTGCATCAAGTCTCGGTTCCCATTTCGTCATGATCTCAGTAACCTTCTGAGCGACGTCTCCCAGTTCACCCTCGGTACCAGCGATCCTGGTGCTTAATCGACCGATGTCAACTTGACGTTTCTCATACTCTCTAATAGCGTTTGGATTGTTGGCTTGAATAAAATCGAGTTTATGTTCCTCGCTGTTGATCTCTTGCTGTAAAGTTTCCACGGTCCTATCCGGGGAAATGCTGGAGAAGTACTCTAGAGAGTCATGATCATCTCTCTCCTCAGCCTCTCTTCTGATATCTTTGCATCTTTCTAGTGCAGCTCGTGCAGTCAGAGTTGCTCGCTTTGACTGTGCTTCGATCTCCCCTAGTCGTGTACGTTCCGTTTCAAGGTTTGCTACAATATCACTATTGCGCTCTCGTAGAGCGTGCACATCTGAACCTGCTTCAATACGTCGGATTTCGGCCTCGTCAAGTTCTTCTGAACAAGCAATGATCTGATTGATTTGCTCGATATGTTTCATCACGTGCTCTCCCTTTTTGAGACCAGCAATGTCTTGCTCTTTTACAATTGCTTGGATTTCCGCCCTAGATTCAGAGCTAGATGTTTCCAATCTCTCCAAAGACTCCTTCTCTCGAGCTGCTACCATGTCAGTACATGCTCAAGTATATCTATGGCTGTGCCACTCACCAAGCAATCCTGGAAGAGCTCTTTGTTCACCATAAGCTTTCTGCTTTTGTTGTTTCTCTTTCATGAGCGCATCCTGGTTACAAAATCTCATTAGTAATGTATGCTAACACGAGAATCGTTGACTACCTACCAGTTCATCCCTTTTCGGATTTGCAGTACTCGAATACTGTACAATCTTTTCAGTGATGTCTTTGGCCTCCCTCTTTAGGGATTCGAATTTTCGGTCGAGGTCTGCCAGATTTTCTTCAATCACACGCCGGCCTGAAGTATCTACAACACCATCGACGAAAAATTTGGCTCGATTGATTCCGGAAGTCTGAATTGACGTGGCACCATATTCTCTTCGCGTTGCAATCTTATACGAAGTGGTTTTTGTCAGAAAAGATGTAATTCCGGTACGGACAATTCTTTCATATTGTTCGTCACTGATGTCCTGGAGGGTAACTGCCGTCTTGTGAGCTTTGATATCGTTACAAAGCATAGCAAGGACTGGCTCCGGGGCTTCAATAAAATCAATAGCCCACCCATCAAGACCAACACTATTCAGTTGAGCTATAGTAGCCGACGACCGACCAATAGTCTCAGCAAGAGTCTGTGTGCTCGTTTGTATTCTGACCTCCGCCAGCTTCATCTCCGCTGAATGGAACTGATTGTTTAATCGCTTGTAATCAGCCTGGGTTTGTGCTGTGATAGTGAGCATGTTGCTCGAACGAAACAATGAGTCAATAACATCAGTATATCTTGGGTCTTTCACAGAGCATGTTATCAAGGGAGGGCCATAGACCTCCTTCTCAAACTTGTCTTGGTTTTCCTGAACCCACTTCCAAGCTGTAGCAGTATCTCTCGAATGCTGTGCAATCTTATTAATCTGTTTCCCAGCTTGACTATCAAAGTCAGCGAGAGCCTGCTTAGCTCTGTCTTGTTCAGCTCGTAAGTCTCGTCCTTTGGCTTTCAACGCTTCTCTGCTTTGTTCGAGCTCCGTTACTGTTGCTTTGATGGCTCTGATGTCCTGCTCGATTGCTCTCTAGGTAAAAAGTCAGCAAGGATCTATATAAGAGTTAATGAATTGGGCACTCACGATATTTTGATTGTATTCAGTGGGATTGAATTCTATTGCAGGTTCTCGCAGGCGGGCTTCAAGGTCAATTATGGTCCTTTTGACCTTTGCAAGATCTTTCTTTCGTTTATCCTCTGCCTCTAGAACAACTTTGATTCTCCGATCACAATCCCCAATTTTGTCATCCCACTCATCGACCTTTTTCAGGAGAACGTCGGCCTCTGCTTCTGCATGTTGTAGGTTATTCCTGCGGTTGGACACGATCTTGGCTAGTTCCTTCTCCAAGGAATCCTTTTCGTTAACAAACCGCAGAGTCGGTTCGACCTGGCTTTCCAGAGTACGAAATCGCTTGGTTGCTTCTACCTTCTCTTCCTTGCATTCCTGATATCGAAGACGTGCATCTCTGTATTCTACAAAAGGAATGCTGTTCTTTAGTTTTTCTAAGTCTTTCTCAATCTGAATTCGCTCTTCGAGTCGTTCCATTTCCGGACGCAGCCCCGCCTGTCGTTTTTCAAGATTCATCAACTGTTCCTTGTCTTGTTCAAGCTGCATTTGTCTCGATTTCTCTTCTCTCCTCAAATTCTTAAGCTCGTCGTGCCAGTCCAGCATCTCTTGCGCGGCGACTGCCCTTTGTGTATGATGCAGAAGTTCGACGGGTGTTAAGGCTGCAAATTCGGAGACTTTATCTTGCGGCAAGAACTGGCAAAGGTTGTCAATTTGAATGCTGAATCCCTTGACCACAGCTAGAACATTTTTGTGGCTTGTTTTCTTGTCATTTATCCAGAATTCGCAATTATTCCCATCTTTGATAATTCGAGTTTTGATGATATGGTTTTCGCGCTCGTTGCTTCTCTTCTGAAGTTCTATTTCAATAAAAGCATCCCGTGAACCATGTTTGACAAATTCTCCCACTTTATCCGCTCGACCAAGGTTTTTTGGCGAAGAACCCAACCCCAAGCAGAGGGCACAAACCACGGAACTCTTACCAGTACCATTTGGACCGATCACCATATTCAAATTTGAGCCAGGGAAGAACTCGGCACTCTCGTAGGTAACGAAATTATTGAGCTTAACTCGAACTATAGCGCCTGGGGCAAATTTGCCGCGTTCGGATGCGATTGTGGAAGTACCGGGAACCCTTCCGACATTTTGTCTGTCAACTTCTTCTCCCAACGATGGCGAAGTATCGGGTTCAAGGGTTCTTTCTTCAGATTCGTAATGTATGGTACGTGATCGTTTCGCAGGTCGCGTGGGTATAATATTTTGTGAACTTTCATCGCCATCGATTCCCTCCCTTGACCGGCGCCCACGAGATGGCATTTGCGGTGCCATGTTAACGATTCAAGATCTGAAAGATTGTTGTAAATTCAATCGAACCAATGAAAAGATATGCTAAGGTGCTTGAACTTAGATCATTTTCAAGGTATAGATAGGTGAATGGAGTGCATTAACTAATTCAATTAAAGAACCGTAGTTTGCGTAAGACGCGTTAAACTTTAGGAACTCGTGTTTAGCATCAATGCGCTAGTACTGTAAAGGGTAGCGTATTGAGATTACCCCACCATTGATGGGTTGATCAGCTGATTTCGCATTTTCAACTTCACCTCAACCACACTTCACCCTCTTTTACATTTCTCAACTGATTGTGCTTCTCTCCTTTGTTAAAACCATGATTGCATTTGACATGAGAACGGAATAGAACAGATGATAGGTTATGTCACAAAGCCAGCTGTCTGATCATGTGGAATAGATAGTGTTGAAGAATCATGGTCCTACGTGTACATTCTTAGTGAGGCAAATGGGAGATGCAGAGAAAGCAGTAGGCTGAATGGACTTTCTCTCCCTTTCCCCCTTCTCTATAAACGAAACAAGAGGGCTTTATACACCACAAAGCCAACTGCTTGCGTCTTTGGAACGGATGTTGCTAACAATCATAGGCCCCCAATCCCACTGAACTAGATGTGCATCGAAGAGGAGATAAGGCGGACGAGCTTTCTCCTGTATTATATCTAGCTACCTATACCTATGCATTGCAAGGCAAGGTTACATTGAATTGAAGGACTATTGAAGTTGTCCTTATTATTCATAGTATAGATAATCTGGAACTAAAACTAGTATACTTGCTTAACCTGCAAGTAAATATCATAATATCTACTTATGTTTCATATTCATTGAAAGATTCGTTCATTTCACAATAAGTCGTCTCAAAGCCTACAAGTGTCTTGTTTATCTTAAAGTGCTAGGTACACATTGTGATGTGGCCATGAGTTGAGAATGAACTCTCACGAAACCCATAGTCTAGATGATTAGAAGTACTAGATGCTTCACTACTATCACATCATCTATCTGGGTCTATACACTTTCAAATGATTAGATGACAATCCGGTTCAAGGGATCTCCAAAATGCTCTAATATAGAAATCATCATAGCCGAGCCAATCATCATCCTTTCAAGGTTGAGATTGGCATTCCTCTCTCGATTTTGGTTGGCATGCAATCGCGGGGAATTTTAGTTGTAAACAAAACATCAACATAATCAAAACTTCACCATAGTGACTGCGATCTTGCAATCCCAATTTTTCTTGAGTACTATTTTTCGCTCTGAGGACATTCGACAAGTTCTTATTTTACTATCTTTTTAATACGACATTAATTCAAACTTTCACTTCAATTCGCTCTTTCTCTGTGCATCGACACAAAACAATCTTACCTTGGAGACGATAAGCTCTTCGAACACACATATCTTTTCAAGCAGATCAAATCTTGTAATTTGGTGAGTTTACTAACTTTACTACTGCAACTCAAGATAAAACATTTGGATTTGACCACAATGGAAGGCTAATCAAAATTTTCTAGGCCCTTCGACCGCTCCATTTTTGGCACTTTCGTTACCATCGACACTCATTTCTTCACATCACTATGCCATTTTAAGTTACACTCTGGGACTCTCAACTGCCGTAGTTGAATACTACTTGAACAGTACTATCCCACATCCTGTGGTATATCAGGACGGTCGATCGACATCAAAGTGGGCACGAGGGATTTCAGAAGATTGCGATCAGATACTGAAGATTATCATAACAATGAGTGTACAAAACACGCGCCCGCTAAGTCGACGACCTCTAGGAGAAGCAACTCGACGAGTCAACAATAATCAACCAAGTGCCACCAAACTGCAATTGAAATCCACACCAATAAATCATGATAGTCTACGACAAGATGGTTTACTACAAGTTTACAACCAGGCTTCTGCTTCTCCAGGCGAACAATATTCATACCTTGACAATACTCGAATACCATCTCCTGTCTCTAATGTCGTCAACCCTAGGCTATCTGCTATATCCAAAGAAGCTGCGACGGATTCAAAGAGAAGCTCACAGATTTCGACCGCATCTTCCGCTACTTCTGATGGTAAAAATCTCAAGAAATTTATTGGTCCCTGGAAGCTAGGCAAAACTTTGGGCGAGGGGGCAACGGCACGAGTACGCCTTGCGAAGAACAGGAATACACATCAAATGGCGGCTATCAAAATCGTTCAAAAGAGAAATGCCCAAATGTCCCAGGCGGGAAGTCTTGCAAACCTAGAACGCTTGGATCCGCTACATGATGAAAGCGATGGAGTGCGAAGAATGCCTGTAGGCATCGAGCGAGAGGTGGCAATCATGAAGCTTATTCAACACCCAAATATCATGAAGATTTACGATATTTGGGAAAACCGCACTGAAATGTAAGTCATATTATGAATCCAAAGCAATTTTAGCCTCTAACAGTCAATAGTTATTTGGTTCTTGAACATGTTGACAATGGCGAGCTTTTTGCTCAAATCGCAAACAACGGAAGGCTGGACGAAGAGACTGCAATGAAGTATTTTCGACAACTTTTGAGTGCTCTAGGATACTGCCACTCATACAATATTTGTCATCGAGATTTGAAACCGGAAAACATTCTAATTACAAGCACTGGGGACATCAAAGTTGCAGATTTTGGAATGGCTGCGCTGCATCAGGGTGCAGATCACAAATTAAGAACTTCTTGTGGAAGCCCACATTATGCTGCACCAGAACTGATTGGTGGATTCAAATATCGGGGAGACAAGGTCGACATATGGAGTATGGGCGTGATTCTCTATGCCAGCTTGTGTGGACGACTGCCATTTGATGTTGAGGGTGTCGGCAATGATAGGGCACGTCTCAATCCACTACTCAGCAAAATCCAAAAGGGGGAGTATGAAGTGGCACCAGAATTTTCCAAAGAAGCAGCAAATTTGATATCCAGAATACTGCAAGTGAATCCAAAAGAAAGGATTACGCTTAATCAAATCTGGAAGCACCCCGTGGTGAGAAAATATGACTATTTGGACAATCTTGGTAGCGGCCAAAGCATCCCGTCCCTTAGTCTGATCGACTGTGCGCGGCCAGTGTCACGCCGAAGTGATATTGACAAGGATTTATTAAGGCAACTGTGGTCTATGTGGCATGCATACTCCGAAGAACAACTCATCGAGACACTGTTGAGCGAAAAGTGGGTGGTTTTGCTAATTTTTTACTTACTAAATATATGCTAATAACAAGACAGACCCAACGAACAGAAGCGCTTCTACACTTTGCTACTGAGATACAGGGATTCTCAACTTGAAGACTACGAACCTGACCTGAGTTATTCAAACAGTGACTACCATCACATCAGACCCTCGACACTGACAAAGACGTATTCTACTTGTCACTTCCCACCACAGACAGGAAGCAGTCATCATCGCCAACAAGCTTCCAGGTTTACTGTGGTCAGTAATAGGTCCGAACACACTTATGATCCTTTCAATGCTTCAAGGCCACAGCACCTTGATTCACTCAGGTCTGACGATCAGATCAAAGTCACTGTTCATGCTCCTCAGAATGAAGAACATGGCCGATACCGTCAGCCCTCTCGACTGTCAACATCAAGGTCTACCAGCGATCGGGGTAGATTACAGAAGCCAGTATCTAGAGTATATGCCTCTCGCAGTTCGCTTGCAAGCTCTACTCGAAGTCGAGGAAGTGCTCCCTTCCGTGCTACCGTTGGTCACAAACGTGGTGTAGAGTTCTCACATATTAAGAGACGATCATCAAGTAGTCAAAAGATTATGTCTGCAAATGGCCCATTGACTTCTGTGGGAGAGCAAGCAGCGGGAGCTGATGAGAGAGCCTCTCTACGACCTGCCATTGAAAATTCTACCTCAACACGCTACATCCGATCGAAAAAGTCACAAGCAGGTAGCACAAAGGTTACTACTACTATCATACAAAAATCTGTACGGGGTAGCCTAATATGGAAAGATGATGTCCGTCAATTGAGTAACAGCTTGGCCAAAGACTGCGATGAAGCGTTCAACAGAACATCCGTCGTTTCTTCAACTAATTCCCAGAACACATCGCGATTTTCAGGAAATTCAAGCGTGGCTTCTCGCGGTCCTTCGCCTATGCTTAATGTGCCAGCGAAAATTCAAACGCTCAGACACGGATCTTTCGACTCACGGCCATTACCTCCGCCACCTGCTAGATCGGATTCTGTCAAAAGGGAATTGTTAGAAGCACGCAAGCAGGCTACACTACGCATGGCTTCTGGAGAAGATTCCCCTGGATATATTGATCGTATGGTATCACACATTGACCGTCTTATACTACCTCCATCTACATCCCCATTGCTTACACGTCAAGATCGCCGCGCAGTTTCTGCACCCGCAGAAACGAAACAGAAGAGTTACACCCGGCCATTGCCTGCGATTAATGAGGCATATGGAGATGAAGCATCCCCTCGAAAAGTCGAATCTGACCGCATCGCATCAGCTCCTGAACCTCGTACATTGAAGAAGAATTCCAAGTTTTTCAACGAAAGAGAAACAATCCGGGTGGTTAATGCTTCCGCGGCATCTTTTAGCCCTGTTAAAGCTCCAGCCCCTCTTACGATTAGGAAGAAAAGCTCACAAGGCGGCCAGACAAAGGGACAATCTGGACCAGAATCTTTTGACAACTCTCTCAAGAACCAATCTTCTGGTCAGGGATTGCATCACCAATATTATGCCGGCTCCAAGGCAGATGTCGGACCAGAATTATCTCGTATTGATGAAGACTCCAACCTTGATGATCCATATGCTCAGGATAGTAACGCGGGAACGATATTGAAAAAGCGATCAGGTTGGTTTAGACGCAATTCCAAGGCCAGTGATGAAGGCGAATCCAGAAGTTCATCGATTGTAGGAAATGATACTTTATTGTCCCAGTCATCAAGCAAGAGTGGTGGTCGAAAGTCAGAAGCAGAAGATTTTCCACCGATTCCACCGACAAAGAAAAAGGGGTCCATTCTTGGTAGGCTCTTCAAGAAAAAGTTACCAAAAACCGGCATGACTGTTGCTAGTGAGTTAAATTTAAAACATTTTGATGTTGATGAGACTAACAGGTCGACAGCACATGATATGTTCGACGAGGAGATGAGTATTCAAGATTCTATTGCAGATTCCAGACAACAGAGTCGCCAAAATCGTATTAATCAGACCACACGAGCACGACAAATAGAGCCTCAACAAAACTGGCTAGCCAAGTTGTTCCATGTAAAGCCCGCTTCGAAATTCATCTGCTTCTCCGTTTCGAGACGTACAGCAAGATTGGAGATTGCCAAGGTGCTCAAAGACTGGAAACGATATGGCATTAAAGATGTTCAGGTTGATAAGCAGAGGAACATAGTCTTTGGCAAAGTCGGCTCAGAAAACTGTAAGTCTTACTCGTGAGTTTTCCACAACATTTTACTGACATCAAATAGTTTTGAACTTGAAAGAGGTCTCATTCGCCGCTGAGATATTAACGGTTTTCGAACATCTGGACCGTGGCAGAAAGATAAATCTCGCTGTAGCACGAATCACACAGGAAAGAGGTGCGGCAAGCAGCTTTCATAAAGTTGTAGAGACTTTAGATTCCGTCCTTCAAGTTCGTGGAGTTCTCGTCATGGACGAAGAAAAGAAGAGAATGATGGTGAGAACAGTAAACTCGATGATAACCGACACCGTTATTTCTTAAACCCGAACTCGTGGCGTCCGCCAATTTTCGATATTCTATATCGTTAATAACCCCCAATTTGGACATTTGCGTATGGGGATGTATCTCTCTACACTCGCCCAAGATTGGACACACTTGAAATCCAGGTTTACCACATTGCAGTATTTGGATGGCACCTGCTTTTTTTGTAGATATATTTTGTTCAGTATAGTGAATTTCTTTGGCATTTTCATAGAGTGGTGGATATTCGAGTTGCGTTGCATGAAGGAGTTGTAAAAAGTAACTTAATATTCTTCACGCAGCCGCAAAAAAAGGGGTAGAAATTATGATAGACGGAGGTCAAAAGGCGGTCCGAGTCTATTACCAAAGAGAGATGGAAGAGCGTTAAAGATGATTAATTTTCTTTTTACTTTCGAATAGGGGAAAATGTGTTCTTTTCGCTCGTGTACTTAGAAAATCTGATTTTTTTGATTCATGTTGATGGGTATATGTTCATGCTTTTGGTGATGTGACTTGTACAGCTGGTATATTATGGTAAAATTCTTTCATAGACATGGTGAAATCCGTGATGATGTTTCCCCCTGGAAATCCTACATAGTTATACATAGGTACGTATATATATACCTAGGTATGCATAATCAAGACATCTTTCACATGAGAGCTTTCATTCTACGCATCCAACGGATTCGACATTGGTTTACTGGAGGGGACTTGAAAGGTGAATAGCTTTGTGTTGTTATTAGGAGAAGTTCCTATGGTAGCATTGTGGAGTTGATATTGGAGTTATATGTTCTCGTTACGCATCGAGTGTCGTGTATTGTGTTACTGCCTCCTACGTAGGTGGGTGTGTGATGCCAATCCCCTCATTGGGAAAGAGAGATGCTGATCGTCATGGGATTGAGAATATGATAGTCTAGGTACTTGAGCAAATGTTCTTGAAGGTGATAATACTACCCAGCTCCCGATCATCGAGGATGTTTTTCCCACCATAGATGGGATTTTATATTACTCTCAATCTTATTATGCAGACTCGCCGAGTCAAAAGTAGACACACTCGAATAAACAACAACGATCTACAAAGCATTCCACCAACTCCACAATCATGCATACTATCCACCCAAGCATATCTCCACCACGAATTTCCATGCTCCAGGTTAATGGAAGCCTTGTAAATCCAGTCCATCCCCATCCCACGGCATCCGCCCGTTCGTTCGTCTCCGCCCCAGAAACGCCACAAACCCACAAAAACGGTTATCACGGCAATGCAATGCATGTAATGCGGTTCCCCATCCGAGCCCATCCATCTATCCTATATGGGTAATGGCTACCTAGGTAGTAAGTATACTATATACCGGAAAGGAAAGGTCATGCACATGGGAGAGAGACAAGGCGGGGAAAAAGGGGGGGATAATTAGTATATTTGTGAATTTTCCAATCCTTGGGATTCTTTCTGCATTTCATATCATATCGTCTTCACTCCACTAAAATTTGACTTTGGGGAGAGAGTTCTAATGATTAGATTCTGGGGGTATGGTACCTGTCAACTAAACGTACCCTGTGGCGTGATGCTTGATGATTGCTGCATGCACGTTTCCGTCTGTAGCATACCGCATCGTAGCGTAGCGTACTGTACCCCAGGATGGAAGATTTGGTGGAATTATCGTATCTATCATATCATAGCGTATCGTATCGTATTGTTGCATCTTGCAAGCACATACATATATACATAGATACATAATAATAAGGCTTAGTGAGAACTAATGTGTCGGGACCCGGGATTGTAGTTTATCATAGGTAGGTCCCTACCCAGGAATAGCGGCCTAGCAAAATCGATGGCTACCTAGGTAGTTGTATGTAAGATTACCTACCTAGAGATCTTATCTATTGCGGTGTTTGTTTTGCGGGTATTTCTTCATCTACCTGTGGATGTTGTGATTGGAGATTCTGGGATTCGGTCGGTTTTTCTTGAGGGAGGAGAAAGGATTTGGATGAATGAATGAACGCCGCGACTTTATCAAATGATACCTAGGTACCCGTGGACCTACCTACCTAGTTCCAATTTGTCTCTATGTTACGCCACGTGTGGCGTAGGTAAGTCAAGCCCACCTGCCTGCACCTGCAACCGACAACATCATTCGGCAGCTTAAACATGAAGTGATCTTCTCACACAAAATCGAATTTCGAAAGACAATTATGATTCAAGTTTCGAGTGGTCTACACATTATCAAGGCAACTTCCCCATTGAAGGTGCTGTTCTGGAATTCTTGTGTGTAGAAGACAATAGACTGCGGGTGTTTGGAGTGGGAAATATTCAAAAGTCCTGTCGGGTTGATTTTGACTACAACAAAACAATGAAGAGCGAGGTTTAAAGAGCTGCCTTGACTTTTTGGGGTGCTCTTCCTCCCATTTCGCTGCAATGGCTATTTCCTTTTCCTTTCGCTCAACTAACGCGTCGTACAAATCCTTATACACGCCACCGGCCTCGACCAAATTTGCCGGCACTCCTCGATCGTAATCAAAAAACACCACATAACCTCTGCAGTCAGCCACAATAGCCTGTTTCCAAAGTGACCATATTAATGTCACCCCAAAATAACGATCGGGTAAAACCTCAGTAATATGGTATGCAACAATAAGCTGGCTTACAATCAGTCTGGAGCCAAAAACATCCTGTGCTAGTAACATACCGAGTCTGGAAATTTCACAACTCTCTTGAGATCAATCGTGTATGTCTTCACCATAACACCGATGTGTTGAGTATCTAAAAGATCCTGGAATCTTTTGCCCAGTTGTGCTTCGAACGACTGGAATACCCGAAAGTTGCATGGGTTAACATAATGCGGATATGCATGGTTTTTGACATGTTTGAACGGATCGTGGTCATGGGACCAATTCACACCACATTCTCCCATAGTACTGGAATCATAACCCATAGCGATGGCCATATCTACTGCCTTCTTACGAAGAAGGGAGTAAGCAGGTCCACCATCGAGGCTTTGATACGAGGAAGCCTCCAAAGCGGATTTGAATTCCGGGATAGGAGCCATAGACAAAATTAAGATCCTAAATTGAATATGATGCAGGTTTGTAAGAGAAGATCATTCTGGAATCTCCTTTTACATATGCTTTTTTTCTCTTCAATCGAAGCTCAGTAGTTTCGTCGGACAACAAGCGTATTAGAGTAAGCAGACGTAGCGGCACGCCGCGCCATAATTTGAATGCAAGTTCGTGGCAAAGAACTATTGCTTGCCAGATTAGGCAACATACCCTGAAGTGCTTTCGTTTGCTTGAGGGGTCAAGGAGATTCCCCCACGTTTTTTTACATCTCGCCCTGGTAATATGAATATGACAGACACCTTTCTGAACGATTCTCATCCCCTTCTCACCAATATTTTCTTAGGTTTAGATTGAGTTCATGCGCTGGCTCGGCACAGATCAGAGCTGAAAATGACGACCTTTCTTGAACCCCCCAACGAGGAAGCCAACATGCTTTTACCCACTGTCATTGATAGTAGAGCTCGTCTTGAGCCGGACCGGCTCTTCTGTGTTCTCATCAATCCAGACAAGAAGGCTGGGATCACTACTAGCATGGTGTCATACGGCGACTACGCCAACTCAATCAACAAATGTGCCTGGTAGATTGAAGAGACTCTTGGAAAGAGTTTAGGTTTAGATACATTGGGATACTTGGGTCCTCCAGATATTCGGTACACAATTGTAGCCATACCTGCTGCGAAAACCAATCAAAAGGTAATCAGACGACTCTATCATCATGGCCAAATCTCAAGTCTGACGGCTAACATTATACAAGGCTCTCTTGATTTCCGTTAAAAACTCAGACGAAGCACAGCTCAAACTACTCGATACTACAGAGTGTAGGGTTCTCCTAGCTGCGACAGATCTTCCTGCCATCAGTACCTCCTTTAACATGCTGTCAATCAAAGGTAATCTGCGAATCATTCCCTTTGAGGGGGTTGAACATTGGATTGGGCAGTCGAAAGTCCCAGAATATCCATTCCTTGCTACTTTGAAAAGTGAACCAAATTGACCCTTTGCGATATTGCATACGTCTGGATCAACAGGTTTGTCACGTCATGAGAATATTTTAGATGTCACTAAATGGGAATGGCAGGTCTACCAGAGCCTATAGTATACATTTTTGGAGCTCTCACAACCTATCGCACATCGCTCGAGCACCAGTATCCCCCTCCATTTGAGCCACAAGATTTATTGCATGTAAAATGGTCCTTCCTCCCTCCGTGTTCGAACTCCCTAAAATCCCAGGAATAATTTTGTAAAAATTCCTGTCTTGAAACCTCAATATAGATTATTCACAATAGAACCTGCCTTCGCCCAAACATACTTCGACAAACGAAATACACCGAATTTCATAGTCATTTCCCTCTCGCCCTCTCCTCTCCGTTTAGTGCCGAGAAAAAACAATAAACAAGAAGCTTTTAATATCTCATTGCCTTCCACCAGCTACACTTGTAGAATCTTGATCATTTCAATTCTATCATCCAGAAGCTAGACACAACCTATTCCACGCAGAGAGTACAGGAATCTGAGTTCGAAAGACGTTCGGTAGTTGAACCAAGATGGATAAAACAAAATGTGAGTATTTCTATATACACCTTTGATTGAAATTTGGTAGTAAGGCGTGCTACATGTTGACAATATATCCCGGAACTTTCGAAAATAGCGAATTTCTCCGCAATCGAGATCAAAAAGCATTCATCCTTCTTCTGAGCATTTTAACATTCTTGCAAGGAGTAGTTGCCTAATAGCCCCCTAGCAAAGACCTAACATAAAATACATAGTCGGGCTATGATTAACAGATATCCTGTTAAGAGAGACTCGTGGAACTTTCCCCGACAATCTTTTTGTGAAATATAAAGGAGCCCTTAATCTCACGGCCACCAAATCTCCAATATGGCTTTTGGTATATTCCAGTTCCTCGTCGAATATTATGCAACTTTTTGATGCTTACTTGCTCCGAACCCTCTTTTTATTGTGAACAAAAGTCCGGCTTAGCAAAAACATTCCAGATTCAAAGATCATTGTTTAAAGTCATCTCGGCTTCATAAACAGAACAAGATCTTGCTTATTCCTGTACTTAAGCTAAAAACGCTCTTCATTGTATACGCTTCAAGCCGGCCGAGAAGTCCAAAATACTGAAAGTTTGAATTCATCGGACAAATGAAGAACGGGAGAGAGGGATGGGGGAAGAAAGCTTATGATGTGCCTTTTTTTTCCAATCCAGATTGTGCCACAAAAGAAAAAACATCGGTCGCGCATACAAGGAATCATGGTTTTCAAACAGAAGTCAAGAATGGGATTTGAAGTAAGTAGTGAAATATGCATTTATCTGATCGATATTGAAACCTCGGCGCTATATGATTGTTATTGATATAAATCATTCAGTGCTGCAAATTCCTTCACGGAGATATTGTGAATTTGAAGAGCTTGAAGATGATGAAGATCGGGTGGTGCCAAATTCCGAGGAGTGTTGATATATTTATGTGGGTGTGTCGTTAGCTTCGTCTGCATGCTCACGCTTATTTTCTTGTTCCATGATGCTTGGTGCTTGGGGTGTGAGAATAGCTTAGCGAATGAGGCGAGAATGAAGAAGATGTGAGAGAAAATGGAATCGATGCCAAATCATGGAAGTTGTAGGTCAGTAGAATAGGAGATGGAAATGGATATGGTAATGCAGCGAAATAAATTCATATTAATTTGTTCAATACTTTGTGAATCCCTTTAGTAAGACGGGAAAGAAGGAGAACTACGACACTCTACCACTTTTACTTTCTCCGAGTCCATCGGATCCATTGAATTGAGCATAGATTTTATCTTCGAGTACCTAAGAACAACGACTGCAGTTCGAACGCACAGTGTTCATAGCTCATCCTCATCTGCACCCTAATTTTTCTTCCAAATATATTAATGTTATGTACTAGAAAGACACCTATATACATATGGCAAAACAAGAAATTCAATTCCCGTACAATTAATAATCGTTGCTTATCATCTCGTATCGGGATTCCCCTCACGAGTGACTATTGATTGCACAGCCTCAGACTGCCCAGTGACACACTACCTAGATATGTACATCAATTCCCAGCAATCTGGCTACGGTTAGCGTGTGTGCGTGCGTTCAGACTCTTCTCACCGGCCGTCATGGGTTAGAAACAAAAACTCTAATAGGTAGCTCAACCTAAAATTTACGCACGCGGTGCGCGCTTGTCAATTCAAATACTTTGGGGCATGTAGCTCTGACGGGGATTACCTAGGGGTGTACGTCTAGCTTGAGACTTGAACCGCGACTGTTTACGTGCAAACGCTGAATTGTTGATTGATAACGACGCTAGCTCCGGAGGCGACCGTAAGAAGAAGAAAAAAGAAGATGGGTACAAATCCAACCTGGTGGTTCGATAATCTAGATCTCACCACGTTGACAATGGATTTGTGAGGAAAATCCATGCACGAGTGACCAGGGGAGGCGAAGTCCCGACGCTGAATCAGAGCTGCCGATGGATCTACTGAGATCTAGACCCGGACTATCCGCACGGTGCATGCATGAAATTTAGTTTCGAAAGTGTAAATGCTAAGGAGTGAGCAAAAGGAAAGCGACGACTTACACCAGTAAGCTCGGGCTTTCTCCAGATTGTGTCTTGTTCGGGGTTTTTTTGGTGTGTTCGGCGTTTTCGTTAGACTTTAGCTGGCAACACTATCGTGAGACTAAGTGCAAATACTCACAAGCGTGCGTGTAGACACCGCACACGATGCTCAACACGGGGCAGTGCAGGGACATAGCAGAATTTCCAAGTGAAGAAAGTGGACGTGGGTGCGAAATATTGGGGTAATGACAAGTTGATGCATGCTTGATACTACATCCTTCCTAGCTAGCGGCCACGCCGAAAGCCTTCTAATGCCAAAAACAGCCATCTACCGGTTAATAGGCTTTTTGTTCCTGTGCTAGTCAATAGTATGAGTACCAGACTGGTGGATTGTTGAAGACGTGAGGCAAGCTGACTGGGGGAGTCGAAGTGAAATTACATGGGTGGATGGTATGTGACATATCTAGCCCAAATCGTTCCATGCTTTGCAGCAAAACGGTTCGGAGATATATCGTTTTGGGAGTTAGTATCGGCCTTGTTGATAATTCTTCGATATTTGATGGGAGTTGCTAGTTGGGCATGATGATACGATTCTGAAATTTCCGTGTTAGCATGACAGTTTGGCACGTCGAGAAGCGCTTGGATACAAAGCAATAAATACACTTATTCCAACTAGATGGGAATTTTCCGATTGTCGTTCCCAGTGACCAATCAATGACAAGAATCTCCTCTCAAGTTCCGACAGTCTGGTCGAAGCGGTAGTTTACCGCACTGTCTATTCCAGTCTTGTTTGGCGGTTTCGTTAGATGTTGAGGTAGCGTGCCCGAAAGGAAAACCCTTCACTTTGAAAGCGACAGACGGTCTGAGTTGAGGAAATTGGATATGTAGTGTGATGTGATCGATGACATCATTGACTATTTGAAAAAGAACGAAAAGTTCTTCAACGGAGTGTCTTTTCGGCATAACCAGAAGAACAAGTGTTGACATCTTCCTTGCAAATTGTTAGTCTCGAGTGCTGGAATGGTTGTTTCGAGCTCACTTACTATGTGAGCAACATCAAATTTAATTACACGAGACTAAGGAACCTGCGGCTCACTGGGCACATTGATTGCATTCCAATTTCTCCCCTTCGGGTAGCTGCTAGCAAGACCACAAGTCAATCAGTTGAAAGAAATGGTTTGTCGCATCTCTCGCCCTACCATTCTTGGTTCATTCACAGAACTGGTCTGGCGTAATGTCATTGACAGGATTCCGGATGCTCTCTGGTAGACATTCAAAGAATTGTGTAGCCACAAAAGTGAGGCCATTTTCTATGTCACAAGGCGTTCCATCGAAGGAATGCATGATCATTCCACCCGTTATATTCAGGGGGCAGGTAGCAAGCCCAGACGTGTGAATTTCGCACCTGCACTTGCAAACCAAATCCCCCCTTCTAATAAACATTAGGGAGTGAATGATCTGGAGCCCTGAAATAGGATGATGCGCGTCGGGTGAAGATTTCGATTTTCGATTCCTCCTTGAAGCAAGTAGCATATGACACCCAATATCATGTCTTCACCGTTATCAGCCCATTCCACCACAGTCAGGTGTTCCGGAAGGCTTTCTACCGCCCTCTGCAAGTATACACGGTGCGGCTGACTTTTGGCGTTCCATTTGAAATATGAGACCGGCATTTTCCTTTGAATGCATGACCCATTTGGAATGTGCTACATCATGTTAGCAAAGTGTCATAGGATAGATTTCATAATTCTACAAGACGGTGCTAGTGTATTTTGAACATGTTGAATAGAAGCGTAGCATTATCTCGGAAACATAGAATACAACAACGATGAACCTTGAAGTGCCACAGTGACCATGTGCATCTGTCAGTGTCTCGTCCTTTCAGCTTTTCCCCCGCAATTAAGCTGTCAATCCAATGCATCTCATGATTTTCATCCGTAACAAGAACGTGGGTTTCTCTACATTGACATGCCAGTGAATGGTGGCTTTCCTTCTCGCTTTCGCTCTCCCTTCTTTCTTTCACGTTGAAGGCGTACAAAGGTATCCTTCAGTGAAAGAGTGTGACGGTAACATCGGGATATTAATTACAAAGGTAAACTAATCACCTAATTCACAAGTTCAGAACTAGTTCAGTAGTACCAGTCCAATATTATTCGCAGCCGCAAATGTCATATCATAAGTACCAGCCAGGTACCTTTGTAACCAATCCAGCGGCTATATTCTGTGTCCAATGTACTTAGGAAATGTACCTATTTCCAGTAAATTCTTCAATAATCTCCGATGTATTCGACGCCTACTTAGGTAACCAAGCAAATCAAAAATTTGTGCCAACGACTAAATTCAGTATCTCAAATGTATCAACCGACACAAGTCTTATATCGAAGGAGATCATTGGGGGCGAAGGAAAGCGGTATGTAATTAGACCCCT